CCCCAAAACCCCAAAACCCCAAAACCCCAAAACCCCAAAACCCCGTGAAAGTTAGTAAAGATTGCATCCAAATATCTACCTTATTTTTTATTTCTATGTTGTTCGTAGAAGGCTCTCAAGATCTTCATTTCATAATCATTGACGAAGGTGGCTCTGTACAGTGGCTTCATGAACTTGTTCATCACGAACAACATTTGGCCAATGAAGCTGTGAATCATAGCAGGGACTGTGCAGAATTCCTGCCCAAGATCTCTCAAGCTGCTTGTTACACAATGCTCAGGAGTGATGGTGTCTGGCCCGGTCTGGTGATTGCTCAAATTTGTAGTTACTACTGCTGGATTCAAGTCTTGAATGTCGATCTTGTCACCATAGTTATCCTGCAAATAGTATGAAAACAACGTCAAAAACTGTTTAGTAGCAGAATATTCTTTTATATATGGAGAAGGCACAACTCTAATCAACGAAGATACATTGATAATTGCGGTTCTGGAAGTCCTCTTCAAGAAGTCGTTGATGAACATTCTGGTGAGCATTGCTGGGCCAGCCATGTTAATGTTTGAACAGGAAATGGCGCTTTCAAGCTTGCAATTTTCAAAAAATTCAGGGATTACTGCACCAGCATTATTGATCAATATTGAAATGTCTAGTTTTTGAATCTTTCTATACAAATGTTCGTAAAACTTTGCAGAGTTATCTTCTGCAAAATCAGCAACCACTATCTGAGTTTGTAGCTGTGAATTGTCTTTCTTCAACTTTGCATCAAGCTCCTCAAGCTTATCTTTGTTTCTCCCAAATAGCACAAGATTAAACCCCTGCTTAGCCAGCTGCTTACAATACTCTGCTCCAATGCCACCAGTCGAGCCTGTAACAATAGCCCAAGATCCTTTACCATACCTCTTCGCCAGATCGAGGGGCTGTCTCAAATAGTTCCTTATAAGACACTTGGCCAACATTCAGACAGAATGTACAAATGTGTAGAGTCCAATTAGCCAGGCTAGCAACAAGTTGATGTTCCAAATAAGTTCAAACATCTTTAGTTGAATATTTATAATTTAATACTAATCGCAACCAAGTTATTTCATTTTGGGGTTTTGGGGTTTTGGGGTTTTGGGGTTTTGGGGTTTTGGGG